ATGTTTATTTTGTAAACACATGCTAAGAGAGACTGTTACAACAAATGCTCACTGAAGAGAGGAAGCAGAAATACGACTTTTAATTACAATTCTTATTTTTCAAATGATCCAGTTTTATGTTCTGCATTAAAGAGAAATATTGCATTTTCATGTGCAATGCTGTCAACGGATTGCAAAGGCTTACATTCTCAATTTCATGGCTGCTTGCCTTAATACAATGTACTAAGGTCAGAACTGCAATAAAAACAAGTACACTGAGAGCAAAGACTGTTTTGGAAACTATAGTATATTCACTGGTTTTCTCATCTTGTTTCAGTGCCACAGAAAATATATGGACTCAGTCAGAGATCAATATGATCAGACAAAAAGCCGTTTATTACAAAGCCTTAACCCCTTAAATACTATTTCTTACATGCACTTACAGTGATTTGGCATATTATGATTGGATACATGTCTTGAAGACCCTTTGCAACTAGCATATAATTGGTTAAGCACAGGTGTGGGAACTTGACCTCAAAAGCTTGCCAACAGTCCACAGTTCTCATTACATTAGTGAATTCCAGCTTCTTCTTATCTTGCTTGCTTAAGCTTCCTTGGGCCTCTCACGGCCTTGCTGTATCTTTCAGGATTATTCAGAGTTTATGTACCAATTATCCATTCTCCTGTGAGAACACTGTCTCCACATCTCCCCCTTTTTGTTTTATATATGTTTTGGGTGACTCGAGCAGGGGATTTGGGCTAGATCATATCTCCAACACACACCAACTACAGGCTGCTGGGCCTGCCCCTTTTTTCTCCTGTATGGCTCTCTGACAACAGGGGAGGCCATCCTTCACATCAAGGTCTGGCATGGCATGTGTCCCCACCGCTCCACGCCTGCTGGGTTGCAGCTAACAGCGGAGCTAAAGGTTCTTCTTGGTGGCAAACACAGAGGCCAACCCAGTCTTGCCCTTGGTTGTGGTAGCAGGCCTTTGGTTAGCCTCAGTCCTTGAACCTTGTTGTCAATGCAGAGTTTCACCTGCTTCATCCAGTAACAAATCGCTACTACAGCAAGGCACACACAAATTTACATTAGCAGAGTAACTATTACAGGGTGCAGCAGCGTGTTGAAGATGCTGGTGGTAGCAAGGGACTAGCCAAAGAAATTTCTTACCAGTGGAATTCTCCCACCCTCTTAATTTGTTCCATCACCTGCTTTATAACACTACCATTGTATTAAAATTTTTCTAGCTTTTGCCTTAGCATTTTCTAGCAGCTACTGCAAATTTCCATACTCTAACATCTCTTTTACAAGTGACAAATCTATAACAATACAAGGTGTAGTTTCTTATTAGCAACTAGCTAGTAAATACAGGTGGTTTTTTACACAAAATCACAGCCTCTAATAATAGCTACTTTACAAGCACACATATTCAGGATGTTACTTTTCAGTTGTCCCCACGTGATGCTTTGCAGTTATTCGTTTTTTCTCTTCCTCTATCTTATTCTGCTTGGGGTATTCACGGTCAGCTCCTGTAGCCGAGGCATCAGGTTTTTCCATTCGTCTGTCCAGCTCATGGCAAGGCTTCACAAACTTTGCAGGCAGTCCAGGTTATCAGTTCTTGAGAAGCAGACAGGTTAAACTGCATATTTGCAGCATCATTGCTCTTTCCCCCTTTTCCATTTTTTTTTTTTTTTTTTACCCCTGCAAAAGCCAGCCTGCTGGGCAGCAGCTACAGCTGCCTGCCTGCTTCAGCAGCAACTATAAATACCTGCTGGCAGCCGCACTTTTACATGAACTGCTTCATGCCCGAAATGTTAAACAGCTACCCGTTAAAAACTTTTACTTGAACCCAACAATACACAACACACCGATTGCCCTCAACATACACACACACGTGTGGGATCCCACAAGCACACTCCACACAAGTACAGTATTTGAAACACAAAAAGACAATTATTACTCCCACTACACAGTCCCACGTACAGAACGTAGCATAAGGACCCTGTGGAGACTAACAGAAAAACAGCTCCGAGAAGCATCGTTGCAGTGCAAGGTGGCACTCATCCTTAGCGGGTGTTCCTGCAGAGACTCTGCCTCCCCCACGGTGCATGAGGCTTGGGCTTTTATACTGACCAAAATTCACACTCATTCCGACACATGTGGCCAACCTATGCTGGAAGAAGTGGCCAGCAATATCTACAAAGGTCTCCAAAGGTTGATAGAAACCTGGACATACTTATTTTTACCAACTTCTAGTTCATAAGTATCACAGAGAGACTGTATTAAATGAGACACCGTATGCCCAATACCCCTGATAAGAGCATACGAAAGACCTTCCCACCACCGAAAACACACACAATATGCCTGTATCCCGTGTTTGTCTCGCTGTAGGTTCAGGGGCGTGGGTGGAGGGTGGTGGTTTTTTTTTTTTTTTGTGTGTGCTTTTTTGTTGTTTTTTTGTTGTTTTTTTTTTTTTCTTTAAAGTAAAAAAGATTGCTCCCTTCACTTTAAGAAGGACTGAAAACATCCATAAAACGGAAGTCCTAAGCTGAAATTTCAATTAATTCAATCATGGACAAGGGGGTTGCCCTGGGGTGGTGCTGGCTCTTTCCAGGCTTTCACCCATCGAGCCGGCACCCACCGCAGATCGGAATCTGTAATTACGCATATAAAACCTCGACCAGTTAGTTTTACTTTCACAGGACCTTTCCAAATGCCGGTTTCCAAATCCTTGTACTGGACCAAAATACCCAGAGTTTTAGTCATATAACCTGAACCTAATGCCTGACCATGTATTATAGCAGGGGGGTCATTAAAGTCTCCTGTCAATTGCACAAAATTCATAACATATACAGCTTTCTGTATCCTTGCTACAGGTGTATGTCCTTCTTCCCCTGTTTTTTGTTTTTCCAACAGTTGTTTCAAAGTTTGATGTGTTCGTTCAATAATAGCTTGTCCTTTAGTACCCCCACAATCACCCTGACCTTGTTGTAGAAGGGGTTTAACAGCAGCGACAAAGGCAGTAGCCATGTATCCAGCCTTTTCCCCTGCTGTGCCCACTTTAGAACATGCATCCATCATTTCTTGAAGACCAGCAGATTTTGGCAAAACCTGCAAAATACACTTACAAGCTGGGTTAGCATTTTCCATAGCCAGAGACATAAGCATGGATTCTTTAGCATTAGATGCCAGATCAATATTCTTTTTGATAACCTCGGTCAATCTGTCAATAAATTGCATATATGGCTCAGTAGGTCCCTGCTTTACTGATGTATATGAAGGATTAGGTTTTCCCGCTTCCGGCACAGCTTTCAGAGCAGCTAAAGCCAATTGCTGTACTTGCTGTAAAACTTCAATTTTCATATGAGCTTGTACTCCATCAGGGTGAAATTGTCCCTTTCCCAGTAACATTTCAGATGAAACACCGTGCAAAGGATGATGAGGATCACACTCTAAATTCTCATCTGCAGCCTTTGCAGCAAGCTCCTCAAACCCACTTCTAAAATGTAGGAGCTGTGAAGGAGTTACACTCTGCTCCTCAGGAGACTCCCACCCCAGCAAAAATTCTTGGGGACTAAGCTCAGGGGCAGTAGCAGCACGAAAAGGGTTAACATCAGTTTGTTTTGGTTGCTCAGTAGCCGCTACTGACTCCCGAGTATCAGCTGGAGCTACCACCAGTAAAGGCGTTGTTGACACAGGATAGAGGAAAGGCGCAGGGTCCTCAAACTTTTGTACTGTACTGCACTCCAGTTTTTGGCCAGAATGTTTTATGCCTGAAGCAGACGACACTACCATGGCTGTAGCACTGGGTGCTAAATCTAATGTAGATGCCGAGCCCTGCTGTTGTGAAGGTGAGTCAGAGAGAGCTGTAAAAACGGATTTTGCCGCCTGTTTCTCAGCCTTCATTGCGGCTAGAGTCTCTTTTAGTAGTAACCAGGGGGCAGCAAGAGACTTCACCTCTTTAAACCCACAAGTAACTTGATCCCACAGGAGTGCCCCAATTTTTTTCCAAGTCCCGAGATCAAAAGCTTCATTAACCCCCTTGATCAGCTCTTTTTCTTTTTAACAGATTATCGTCATATTCTATCCCTCTCACTGAGAGGATATGCTGGAAGAGCTTAAGGATGACCATTTTTTCTTAATTGATTCCCCATCCTAACCCTTTTCCAGACCCCGTCGGCTGTTACCTTATTTGCACTGCACAGTGTCTTCTGGGCTCACCAGGCTCCGCTCCGAGGCGACTACCTCCCGATCCTGGTCCTGCCGGATCGAACCCAGCTGACGTCCCTGCGGCTCCACGTTTTCCACTTTCTTCAGTGCCATGCGCTTTAATTCCTTCAGTTTCAATATGAAAAATATGGGGGGTTCCTGTTCGGGCGCCATTTGCCGCAGAATATATATGGACTCAGTCAGAGATCAATATGATCAGACAAAAAGCCGTTTATTACAAAGCCTTAACCCCTCAAATACTATTTCTTACATGCACTTACAGTGATTTGGCATATTATGATTGGATACATGTCTTGAAGACCCTTTGCAACTAGCATATAATTGGTTAAGCACAGGTGTGGGAACTTGACCTCAAAAGCTTGCCAACAGTCCACAGTTCTCATTACATTAGTGAATTCCAGCTTCTTCTTATCTTGCTTGCTTAAGCTTCCTTGGGCCTCTCACGGCCTTGCTGTATCTTTCAGGATTATTCAGAGTTTATGTACCAATTATCCATTCTCCTGTGAGAACACTGTCTCCACATTTCAGTCATACTAAAAATCTGCCTAAACCAAACATCTTTTAAATCCTTTAAAATCTTTATAAACGCGTGCTCTCATAACAATATATTCTTCAGCAACAAAAGCCTAGCTGAGATTATTGACAAATACATTCAAATATTTTTAGAGGAAAACCCTCCCAGAGATACTGAAACCTTCACTGCCCAGATGCCCCCCCCCCAAAAAAAAAAAAAAAAAAAAAAATTCAAGCTTAATTTAAAACCAAAGAATGAGTAAATATGGATATCAGTTTTGGCCTCAGAAAATCCTTTAATCCATCAGATTTTTGCGTATCACTGAAAGTATGCAAGGAATCAGATGATGGTTTTCATCCTTGGCCAAGTACTGCTAGCATAAAAACATGTATTTAAGAACTGTTGTTTCTTCAGACGAACTACCTATGGTAAAAGGTAGCATTATCTTTAAATATAACACTTCATTTTCATCATTAAATGAAGACTGGGAGAATTGGAAACTAAGGTTTTAAACAAAAGTTTTGCAGCAGGTCATATTCAATTTTCAAGCACAACAGCAGTTCTTCTTGAAGGCCTCTAAAAGCACTTGATGAGCTTCTGTTGAATGCTGTCTCCCCTCAGACTGTTGTCTGTCCTTCACTGGCCTCAGAAGCTGTAAGGAAAAGTAATGAAGTTATTACTGTTTGCACCCAACTCCATATTACTTTCAGCTGAGGTTTACTGTATTGATTATACAAAATTACTCCACTTTGCTTTTTGTTCCTACCACTCTGATCACTTTACCGATTTTCTAGATGGGCATTTGACAGAATCAGTTTTCTTGGAAATACTATCAAACAGTGACCAAAGTACAGCTAATGAGTGTCACAGAGAAATTCATATGAGATATTCCAATGTGGACAGAATTTTTTCATATATGCGTTACTGCTCTGTATTCCAAGTATGTTTTGAAAATAGGATATATGGAAAAACTCAAACATATTCACCCTCAAGTAACCCAGATCTTACCAACATTCAAGAAAGAGACATTTAAAATCCTGATGTTTCCCATGTGACATAATTGGACAGCCTCAGTCTTTTTATTTTGACTGCAGTGCTTTCCATTTTTATTTGTCTCTTTTTAAATCAAAAAGGAACGTCTCCCAGACCAGTAGTGCAGCATAGCTGGGATTTATTAGACTAAATCAATGGGAATACTAAAATGGGATGGAAGAAAAGGACCATCATTGCTAAGTCACAACAAAAATAGAAAGTTTAATTGTAGTACTAAAGTGAAACAGAGTCTCTAGTCATAACATAGGACCTTTTCTACTGAAATTGTAAAGAATCAGTCTGCAATGGAAATCTGTTAAATTCCTCTTACTTATGTTCTTGCATTATTTGCACAGATTTACAATGTAATTCTCAAGAATGAAATACCTCTGGAGTATCTTTGAAATATAAGTTCCTCCTAAATAGTCATTCAAAGCTTTGTTACCAAGCAGATGAATTTAATGTCAGGGAACTGCATTACATTAAAGGGAAAATATCAAAAGTGCATAATGGAGGCCTGCAGGAATTGCCTACATAGAGTTTATGGTGCTTTTTCACAAACTTTATGTGTCACTTCAGTTTGTCTCCTTCTTCAGCCTTCTGAGGTGCATGCACTGTTGTGGGGTTTTACTCTGAAGTGTGTTGACATTAAACTTCAGAGGTCAGGAATTCAACCTGACATGTACCCTCTGCACCAAAAAACAAAGACAAGCTAAATCCATTAGGCAGAAGGACATTTCCCTGAACTACAGACTGACACACAAGTGATTCAGACATGTCTGTAAGAATCTCAGTTCTCTCCTTTACCCATAAAACCAGAAGAATTTGGCTGGTTTGTAGTGACTGTTTAGTGATATTTATTTGCCAAGAAAACACACATTTGTGAAATTACTGTTCATCAAGTTAATAAAACAGCAGGGATTCACATTCTTACTCTCCTAGCTAAAACCAATGCAATTTTATTTCTGATTTTATTGTTGCTGCTGATTACATGAACTACGAGACAAAATAAATTCAAAAAGGTTTTTGTAACAAAAAACTGTCAAGCATATATGGTATTACTGATTTTCTTTTGTCACTTCAGCAACTGGAGCTTGTTTTTCATATTTACTGAATGCATCATTTCAAGTGTATTTCTCTTCATTATCAGCCATAAGGAAAAAAAAAAAAAAATCAAGTAAATCCAATATCCTTCATGGAAGGATAATAAATTATTAATATTAACTAGTCCCAACGCATTCCCACAACATCCTCCTCCTGTCTTCTACCAATTTCTCTGGGTATTACTTCTCCCTTCAAAACAGCTCATTGTTTCATGCCCTGTCATTGGCATCTTTGCTTTTAGAGACCAATTTCCAGTATTTCAGTTATCTGAATAGTGCTGTCCCACCAGCTTCAATGTGCCAGGAAGATGACGGGTGCTCTTTTACCCTTTGGCTAAGTCATGAGCTCACCAAAGGACTGCTGAGCCCTTATAGCCTCTAACTTCCTAGGTGCAACAGGAGCCAAATAAAGGCACAGAAAACTCCTGGAGTTAGTGCAACCCTTTATCCTTGGCATGATCTGGGTTTTGTGTTGTTTGGTTGTTTTTGTGTTTTTGTTTTCTTGGGGGGGTGGCTTGCTGGTTTTTTGTTTGGTTTACTGCAAATACGTACTTTGGATAGTATGAGATTATACGTGTTATGATGGAAGAAGTGATGTTCTCCAGTCACTTTCCTTAGTTTACAGATATGCTTTCTCAGCTTCAGCCTGTAACACTATATCAATTTGGCCCACTAGCTATACAGAATCAACTTTCTTCACTTGCATACGAAACACATGCACTTGTGCTCTTCTAAGCCACACAGATTTTGTTTGCAAGAAAATTATGGCAAAGAAATATCTTCCATAAATTCTTGATTACTGAAAGTGTTTCATTAATCTGGAGGTACTATTTTGACGTAACATCATCTTGGTTGCTGAATAGCCAACTGCAAAAGGCCCTACCTGCAAGATGATACTTTTATCTTTAAAAGTAAAATGAAGGTATCTCAGCTAGTATTTTTCTACCTATCCCAGCAGCTTAACTTCTGCAGAAAAGTGGAGTAAGCCAAAACTGACTGTTAAAAAACTTCACCAAGCAACACTAACTCTTACACAGTCAGTTGAAACAACTGTGCTTCCATTATTATGTGATATTATTTGAAGCACACTTTGTTGACCCCAGTGGCTGAAAATATATAAAGAAAATAGGAGATATGATCACATCATGTGCCATATGTCATGAGCACATGTTCTTTTGGGAAAGATGTAGGCTTACAGTCCATGTTTCATACTGATGTTCATCTGCAGATGAACTACAGCACTGGTGCCTAACCTTTCTTTAGGGATAAGCTATTCAGTTCATAAAGAAACCACTCACAAATGCTATGTCTCTGCTTTATTTGTTGGGCATCATTAAATGTGCATCAGTCACATCAACATATTTAATGCACATGAAAGCACAATACATATTGATTGGTTCATACAAGGAAAGGCCTTCTGTGCATTCTGTAACATAACCGCACGTTTGTGCTATCACATCACCAAAACATTCTTTTATCCTCCACATTTTGATTACGGGTAGACCATGGCAAAAGCAAGCTGTGGGCTGCAAGAACCCCTCATGTGGCTTGCAGTTTGCTACCTGTCCACACCTGGAAAGCAAGGGGCCACCTATAAGTTTGTATTTTTATAATCTCAGAATGGCAGAGCAGGCATCCACACATTGGAAGACAAAATAAGGGATCTGTGCAAGTGATATTTATTACAGCCCTGAATTCTTTTTTGGATCTAAAAGCACTGACATGTTATTCTCAATGTGACAAAATGGCTACAAAACTCAAAATAATTGCCTTAGGCAAAGCAGTACATAACATGCAGAGCTTTAAATGAGTCTGTTCAGTAAATCATGGCTGTGAACAAAACTGAATAGACTTCTGCTCTGTCACTGTCCTGGGTTCAGCAGTAGCAGTCATGTTTTTTCCTTTGTGTTAACTGGTGCAGTGCTGTGTTTTGACTTCTAGTTTTGAGAACAGCGTTGGTGAAGCCGATGTTTTCGGTTGTTGCTAAGTGATGTTTACCCTGACCAAGGACTCTGTGAGGCTCATGCTCTGCCAGGGAGGAGGGGAAGCTGTGAGGAAGCAGAGACGGGGCGCCTGACCCGGGCTAGCCGGGGAGGTATTCCATACCACAGCACGTCATGCCCGGGGTGGGGGGTAACTGGGAGTGACCCGGAAGGACAGGAGCTTCCGGGTGGAACTCGTTTTCTTGGCCGGTGGTATCGTATTCTCTTCCCTTGTTATTTTCCCTTATCATTGTTTTAGCTGATAGTAGCGGTGGTGATTTGTTGCTGGACTGTTCTTGTCTCAACCCGTAGGAGTTGCACTCTCTCGATCCTCCTCCCCGTTCCTCCGGGAGCGGGGAAAGGGAGAGCCCCGGTGCAGGGAGGGGGGGGGAGACGAACACGGACCTTGATTGTTGTCAGCTTGGCACCACTCACTGGGAGTGAGTGAACAAGTTACCTGACTGGGTTTAAACCACGACAGTTCTTTTTGGCGCCCAACGTGGGGCACGAGGGGTTGAGATAAGAACAGATCTGACTGGATTGATAGTCACTCGTCACAATGCTGATTTATTGGCTCTCAAGGTTTTTCCTCTTGATCTCACAGTTTCAGTATACCATATCTTACGTCCATCCGGTATTGGCTGTATTAGTGTTTTTCAAGTGTGGGGCTTGGGCTAAGGTTTTTATCCCATTGTACTTTATGGTAATGACTTGTAATACAATAGAATCATTGATCATGAAACTGATCTGGCTTATGTTCCCAGTGTGGTCACCACCTTTATACTTTGGGAGGTATATGATGGAGGTGCTTAGCAATTACACATCTTTTTTCTCCTTCTCAGGTGCTCAACCTGTGAAGGAGACATCCTTTTACCCTCCTAGTCGTCCCCCCAGACCATTTACATTTGAGAGTTTCGAATTTTTTAAATGGCCTTTTAATGCTCTTGAGACTTGTTTGCTGATGGTGATGGGAATCACCATGCTAACACGCATACAGAGTGTGTTTTGCCCACTACTGATTTCAAGAGTTAAGCAGATTCAGGTTTGGGTCTTGTCTGGGGTCAAACGACGATGTAGGAGGACCGAGAGATTTTCCCAGAGGCTGGACAGCCATGAGTGGCAGGGTGTGTGGGATAGTATGGGCAAGTATCTAGGTCAGTGGGCCCCCCCAGTATTTTGGAATTTCACTACCGAACAACTGCAAAATCCAGAAGAATTAGTAAAACACTTAAATGAGGTGTGTGGTCATTCTGGCCATACCAGAGATGGACAAATCACGGCAACGTGCTGGGGCTTGGCCTATGCTTACAGGGCCTTGTTCAACACTATCCAGCACCTTCAAAAGGAAAAGAATGTCGGCGGATTTGAGGGCAAAGTGACAGTCGCTACTCAAACTTTGGCTGCAATGAACTGCGCAGCTACCCCAGTGGCAAGTACAGCAGCTGCTCAAACTTCAACTGCAACAGACAGCGCGGTTACCCCAGCTCCAAGCACGGTAGCTACACCACCCCCAGCAACAAGTACAGTCGCTACTC